AGCCCAGTTCCTGCAACCGTTCGTTGTACGTTTTAGCCTCCAGTCCCCTAATCATCCTGGTTGCTCTTCTCTGTACTTTTTTTAGAGCCTCAACATCCTTTTTTATAGTGTGGTGACCAAAACTGGATGCAGTACTCTAGGTGGGGTCTTACTAAGACTTTATAGAGTGATATTTGTACTTCCCTTGATCATGATTGTATCCCTCTGTTAATACAATTTAGGATTGCATTAGCTTTTGGGGCTGCTGCTGCACACGGCTGGCTCCTATTTAGCTGGTTGTCCACTAAGACTCCAAGATCCCTCTCACAGTTCCTACTATTGAGCCTGGTTTCACCCAGTCTATATACGTACTTTTGGTTTTTCTTGCCTAACTGTAGGACTTTACTCTTCTCTATATTCAATTTCATTTTATTACATAGGGCCCAGTGTTCTAGTCGGTCAAGATCCCTCTGGATCTTGAGCCTATCTTCTTGGGTGTTAGCTATTCCTGCCAGCTTAGTATCATCAGCAAATTTGGTAAGTTCCCCTTTTATTCCCTCATCTAAGTCATTAATGAAGATATTGAAGAGTACTGGGCCTAAGACAGAACCTTATAGCACCCCACTGCTTACTTCCCTCCATGTAGACTTAGACCCATTAAGGTCTACTCGTTGAGTACTGCTTGCCAGCCAGTTGCGAATCCATCTAGTGGTGGTGCTATCTATTCCACTTTTTTCTAGCTTACTAAGAAGTAGGTTGTGGTCTACTTTATCGAATGCCTTGCTGAAATCTAAATATATTATGTCCACAGTATTTTGCTGGTCTGCTAATTTAGTCACTGTGTTGAAGAATGAAATAAGATTGGTTTGGCATGATCTGTTTTTAACAAACTCGTGCTGACTGCTAGTTATTACTTTACTTGTTTCTAGATGTTGGCAGATCTGTTTTTTTATTATCTTTTCCTGTATCTTCCCGGGTATTGATGTTAGGCTGATTGGTCTAGTTTCCTTGGTCTATTTTTTTTTCTTCCTTTTTTGAAGATGGGAACCACATCAGCTCTTTTCCAGTCTCTGGTAGTTCCCCGGTGCTTCACAATTTTTGAACGATATGGTGCAGTGGTTCTGAGATGACCTCTACCAGCTCCTTTAAACTCTGAGATGTAATCCATTCAGGCCCTGGTGATTTGTATTCATCAAGATCAGACAGGTGTTCTCTTACTATTTTTTTTGCTTATTTTATTTCTGGTCTGTCTTTTACAGTTATGGTTTTGGTGGGTTGAGCTATAGTTTCTTTTTGCGTGAACACAGAGGCAAAGAATGAGTTAAGCAGTTCTGCTTTCTCTCTGTTGCCTGTTACTTCCTTGCCATCTTCTCTCTTTCGTGGACCGACTGTTTCCTTGGGTTTTTTTTCTTGTTATTGATATGTTGGAAGAAACATTTTTTTAATTATCTTTGACTTTTGTTCCAAGTCTTCGTTCATTCTGAGCCTTTGCTATCCTGACTTCGTCTTTGCAGATTCTGGCTATCTGCTGATATTCTGCCTTAGTTGTATGTCCTTCTTTCCATTTTTTGTACTTGTCCTTTTTTTCTTTCAATTTGCCAGAGAGATTGTTGTGTAGCCATGCTGGTTTCTTCTTGGATATCTTGTTTTTCTTTCTCAGTGGTATTGTACTAGTCTGGGCTCCTAAGATCATAGTTTTTAGAGTTTCCCAAGATTCTTGAGTTGTTTTCCCCTTTAGGATTTTCATCCATGGAATCTTTCCCAAGTTCTCTCTGAGTTTATTGAAATCTGCTCTTTTAAAATCCAAGACTCTGGTGTCATTATGTTCTGTTGCTTGTGTTTGTGTTATGTTGAATTCTAGTATGACATGGCCACTCTCACCCAAGGTTCCTGCAGTTTCAACTCCCTCTATCACTTCTTCTCTGTTTGTAAGAATTAAGTCCAGTATGGCTGTTCCTCTAGTTTCACCCTCTACCATTTGGACAACAAAGTTGTCAGCTAGGTTGATTAGGAACTTATTTGATTTCTCACTTGGTGCAGAATTAGTTTTCCAATTGATATCAGGATAATTGAAGTCTCCCATTACTATTGTTGTGTGTTTCCTGCATATGTTTGTTGGTTGGCTGGCAAAAAGGACATCTATTTTTTCTGCTTGATTGGGTGGCCTATAATATACACCTATGGCCATGTCATTCTTTTTTTCTTTTATATTGACCCATATGCATTCTAGGAGATTTTCATGCATTTCTGTAGCACTATAGTGGTCCTTTACATACAGTGCAACTCCACCTCCACCAATTCAAATGTAGGTTTGCAAAGCTGGCTGAAGAATTCTGGCAGTTGAAGTCCACAAGTCTTAAAGTTGCCAAGTTTGGGGATCTTTGACGTAGATGACTTCCAAGATCTCTTCCAATTCTATTACGATCTATTTTTATCGTAAGTTGCGAAAAATGGCCCTAAGTCACTTTTCTCAGTGCCATTGTAACTTCCAACGGTCACTAAATGAACTGTGGCAGGTCGAGGACTACCTGTAACCATGGAACTTTGGTCGCTAAATGAACCATTGTTAAGTGGAAGACTACCTTTTTTCCCCCGTTTTTTTTATAAACATCAATGCGTGAACCATGTAGCACCTGAGTGTCATACATTTTGATACAGATAAAATAGAATTAATCATATTTGTTTCATTTAACAAGCTTATATAATTCTAGTAATAATACACATATTTTTATTAAATTATAATATTTCCTTATTTAGTGATTCAGTGTTTCAATGTGTCATTTTTATGCCAGTCACCCTATTCTAAGTGTCATACCTTTCAATACAAATACAATATTATGAATCATTACACTTAGCAAGCTTATATAATTCTAATAATAATACAAACTTTTTTGTTAAATTAAATCTTCCATTATTTGCTTGTTCAACTTATACTCCTTCATTATTTGGCTATTTAGTATTTCAGTGTGTTATTTTTATGTCAATCACCACATTCTGCATGTCATACATTTTAATGCAAATAAATTAGAATTCTTTTATTGGCCAAGTGTGATTGGACGCACAAGGAATTTGTCAAATGCTCTCAATATACATAAAAGAAAATATTTTTAATCATATTTGTTACATTTAGCAAACATACACATATTCAAAAGGTAATGGGGGACTACCTTTTAAAAGCACATGCTTTAAAGAAGCACTACCCTTATTGCATCTCCAACCAATTGCTCTCTTAGGCAGTTTTTTTTCTGCGTGAACATAATGCTTTCCAGCCTTCTGTTCTTAAAATCTTCCAGTGTTGGAGCATTCACAACTTCTGGAGGGAAACCGTTCCACTGATTAATTGTTCTAACTTTCAATAAATTCCAAATCTAACTTGCAATAAATTTCTCCTTAAGTTCCAGGTTGCTTCTCTCCTTGATTAGTTTTCATCTGTTGTTACTTTCTTGTCCAGCTTTCTGGTGCTTTGCAAAATCAGTTGACTTTGGTCTTCCTTAACAGGATTCCTTAAAAAGGAAGCACTCGAAGCATCTGTCTGGAATTTGCAGCCTGGCCAAATTCAGGCAGGAAGGCACCATGAAAAATTCCACAGTCCTCCCAGGTCACTACTTTGAGAAAACCACCATTCCCAGACCGCTGGACAATTTCCTGACCTCCCACACAGAGCATCCACTCAATGTTTGTCATAACAGTTCTCCCAACTCTGCCTCGAGTCGGGGCACAAAGAAGGATGATTCAACAGCCCGACATGCGGTCAGTTCTGGAGATGACCCCTTGACCAAGACGGTCCTGGAAAGGCCAGTGGAAGAAAAGAAAATGGCGTCTGGCTATGAAAAAAGGCTCCCTTTGGATGTTTTTTCAGACAGAAGCGGCAACGGAAAACCGGAGCGGTGTGAAGTCCTCACAGAAAAACGAGGCCTCGTTTACAGATGCCAGGTCAGCTCCCTGTGGGATTTCTGTTAAGTGAAGCCCTTTTTTAAAAAAAATGTAGGTTTGCATGGAACACACCTGGCCAAGAATTCACACACAGCTGTGCATGAACATTGTGGGAAATATTTGTGTACGAAATGCTTGAAGCCGTTAAGTTGCTGCAGTTGTTCATCCCTGGCTGCCACTAACTTTTCTGCAAGCAGACTCGGGTAGTCCTTGGCTTATGACCAACAGTTGAGCCCAAATTTTCTGCTGCTAAGCGAGACAGTTGTTAAATGAGTACTTCCCCGTTTCTTGCCACAATAAGCAAATAGTTGCAGTTAGGTTTGTCACTCAGTTTTGAAGTGAATTCTGGCTTCCCCGTTGATGCCTTGTAAGAAGGCCCAGAAAAGGGGATAGTAATAGCAGCTACACTTATATACCGCTTCACAGTGCTATTACAGCCTTCTCTAAATGGTTTTCAGAGTCAGCTTGTTGCCCCCAACAATCTGGGTCTTCATTTAACCTACCTCGGTAGGATGGTACATCAAGGACCCCACATCCTCCTCCTCCTCCTCCTCCTCCTCCTTTTTCTTCCTCTTCCTCCTCTTCATATTCTCCTCCTCCTCCTCCTCTTCTTCTTCCTCCTTCTCCTCCTCCTCCTCCTTCTTCTCCTTCTCCTTCTCCTCTTCCTCCTCCTTCTTCTCCTTCTCCTCCTTCTCCTTCCCCTTTTTCTTCCTCTTCCTCCTCTTCATATTCTTCATATTCTCCTCCTCTTCCTCCTCCTCCTCTCCTCCTCCTCCTCCTCCTCCTCCTTCTCCTCCTTCTTCTTCTCCTTTTTCTTCCTCTTCCTCTTCATATTCTTCATATTCTTCTCCTCCTCCTTCTCTTCTTCTCCTCCCCTCCTCCTCCTCCTTTTCCTTCTCCTATTTCTTCCTCTTCCTCCTTTTCATATTCTTCTCCTCCTCCTCTTCTTCTCCTCCTCCTCCCCCTCC